CTCCTATACTACTAAAGAAATCAACTTTTCAAGCTTTTAAATTGAAAAAAAAAAAAGAAAGAAAGAAATTTCCAGGCCTGGATGGTTTCTTGGGAGAATTCTACCAAACTTTTAAATAATTAACATCACTTACATCACCCATTCTCTTCCAAAAATTAGGAGGGAAAACTTCTCAATTTATTTTATGAAGCCAATATTGATCCTGATATCAAAACCAGACAAAGCTAATACAAAAAGCAGAAAGTTATAGACCAATGTCCTCATGACTAGCAAAAGTCTTAATAAAATATTAGTAAATGGAATTTATCAATATATTAGAAGAATCACACACCATTACCAAATAGGTTTTATTCCTGGGATGCAAGGCTGGTTAGGTATTAAAAAATTAGTGTTTAATTCACCATCTTAACAATTAAAAGAAGGGAAATTGCATCACCATACCAATCAATGCAGGAAAAGCATTTCACAAAATTCAAAAACCCATTCATGATAAATTCTCAGAAAAATAAGAATATGGTGAACTTCATCAAGTGATAAAGAGTATCTACAAAATACTTACAGTTAACATACTTCATACTGAAAGTCTGAGTGTTTTCTCCTAATATTGAGAAAAAGTGAGGATGTCTGCTCTCACTGCTCTTATTCAAGATAATGCTAGAAATTCTAGCCAATGTGATAAAGTAAGAAAAGGAATTAAAAGTCAGATCAGAAAGGAAGAAAGAAAACTGTCTCTATTTGGAGATGACATGAAAATCTAAAGAAGATATCCCAAAAAACTCCTAGAACTAATAAGTCACTTCAATACGGTCATAAGATACAAGATTAGCATGCAAAAAAACCAACTATATTTCAATATTCTAGCAATGAACAAATGGACACCTAAATTTAAAATATAGCCAACTTACAACTGCTCAAAAGAGAAATATATAGGACTTGTATGCTGAAGACTATACAACACTGATAAAACAAATCAAAGAAGATATAAATAAATGAAGAGACATATTGTGTTCATGGATTAGAAAACTCAATATAGTAAAGATCTCAATTCTCCTCAAATGGATATACTGATTTAACATAATTTCTATCAAAATCAGGGTGAGATTTCTTTATAGACAAGATTTTTCTAAATTTTATATGGAAATACAGAGGAACTAGAGTAGCTAAAAGAATTTTTTAAATAAAAAAAAAATGGGAAGAATCAGTCTACTCGGTTTTAAGACATACCACTATATTAAGACTGTGGGTATTGGCAGAGGGATAGATGCATAGATCAATGGACCAGAAGAGAGAACCCAGAAATAAGCGCATATAGATATCCCAACTTATTTCTGCCAAAGAAGAAAAAGCCACTCAATAGAGGAAAAATAGACTTTCCTTTTTTTTTTTTTTTTTAAAGATTTTATTTATTTATTTGAAAGAGGGTGCGTGAGCGGAGTGAGGGGCAGAGGGAGAAGCAGGCTCCCCATTGAGCAGGGAGCCTGATGTGGGGCTTGATCCTGGGACTCCAGGATCATGACCTGAGCTGAAGTCAGACATTTAACCGACTGAGCCACCCAGGCACCTTGGAAAGACAGACTTTCAACAAGTGGTGCTGAACAAGAGGATACTGATAGGCAAAAAATGAGATTCAACCTAAGCCACATATCTTATACAAAAATTAACTCAAAATGGATTGTGTTATTTTTCCAATAAAATATAAATTGAGTAACAGGTAAGAAAGACAATCAAATATTTAGTTCTGTGCTATTGTTCTTTGGTTATAAATTAAAAATTTTCCTTGACAATTATCGAAAAAAAAAATACCTAACACAGACTTAAATGTAAAACTGTAAGAATTTTAGGGGCGCCTGGGTGGCTCAGCGGGTTAAAGCCTCTGCCTTCGGCTCAGGTCGTGATCCCAGGGTCCTGGGATCAAGTCCCACATTGGGCTCTCTGCTCGGCGGGGAGCCTGCTTCCCCCCCCACCCCTGCCTGTCTCTCTGCCTACTTGTGATCTCTGTCAAATAAATAAATAAAATCTTTAAAAAAAACAACTGTAAGAATATTAGAACAAAACACATTATAAGATCTTTGAAAGCTAACCCTGACAGTGTTCTTAGGCTGGACACCAAAAATGCAATCCATAAGAGAAAAAATTAATGAACTAGAGTTCATCAAAAACTTTTACTCTGTGAAAGATGCTGCTAAGAGGATTAAAAAAAAAAAGCACTACATGTTGGAAGAAAATATTTGCAAACCACATATTCAATGAAGAAATACCATATAAAATATATAAAGAACATTCAAAATTCAATAGTTAAAAAGAAACAAGCAATCTAACTAGAAAATGGGCAAAAGTTAGTAAAGCAATATTTTACCAAAACAGATAGACAAATAGCAAATAAGCACAAAAAAAGACATATTCAATATCATTAGCCATTGGAGAAATACAAATTAAAACCACAGCAAGATATCACTACATACTTATCAAAATGGCTAAAATGACATAGTGACAATATCAAATGCTAGCAAGGATACAGAGAAACTGGATCACTGGTGGTTCACACTGCTGCCAGGAACATAAAATGGTACAACCACTGGAAAATAGTGGCAAAAAAAAAAACCCCACAAAAAAAAAAAAATCATGAAACTACTGTACAACCTAGCTATCTCACTCCTGGGTATTTATTCCAGAGAAATAAAGACTTATATTCACACAAAAACCTGTAATATTAATATTTACAGCAGTGTTCATTGTAACAGCCAAAAACTGGGAACAAAGCAGATTTCCTTTGAGGTGAAAATAAACTAACTGTGGTACATCCACACCATACAAGGAAAAGCAACAAATCATTAATAAACACAACAGCCTTGATGAATCTCCAGGGATTTATGCTGAGTGGCAAAAAGTCAATCCTGAAGTGTTTCCAAAAAGTATTTTATGATTCTATTTCTATTTATGTAACGTTTGAGAAATAACAACAACAAAAAAAATAGAAATGGAGAACAGATCAGTAATTGACAAAGGTGAAGGAGGGGGGTGGGGCTGGGGAGGAAAGTGGGTGTAGCTATAAGAGGGCAATATAAGGGACTCTTGTGGTGATGGAGATGTTCTGTATCTGACTATACCAATGTCAATATCCTACTTGTAATACCATACTATAGTTTGACCAGATGTTATCATTGCGGTAAACTCAGTAAAAGGATAAGGAATATTTCTTATTTATTTTCTTTTCTTCTTCTTTTTTTCCCTAAGATATTATTTTATTTATTTGGCACAGAGAGAGAGAGAGAGAGCACAAGCAGGGAGAGTGGCAGGCAGAGGGAAAGGGAGAAGCAGGGTCCCCATGGAGCAGGGAGCCCAATGCAGGGCTTGATCCCAGACTCTGGGATCATGACCCGAGCCAAAGGCAGAGGCTTAATTAAGTGAGCCACCCCAGTGCCCCTGTTTTGTTTTGTTTTGTTTTTTTAATAAAAGATTTTTAAGTAATGTCTACACCCAACCTAGGGCTTAAACTTACAACCCCTGAGATCAAGAGTCCCACACTCTACCAACTGAGCCAGCCAGTATCCTTCTGTGTTTTTCTTACAACCACATGTATATCTACAATAATCTCAAAATAAGAACTTTAATTTTACAAAAAGTGAAAAAGGCATAAAACAAGAGAAAAGACCAAGTCAGGAGAAGATTGGCCAACTAAAAGAGTAAGAAAATAAGCAAATAAACCAAAGTACCCCTTTAATCCTTGGTGGTAGTTGGAGGTGGGGCTTTAATTCTGTTTTCTCATAGCAAAAATGGGCTACTAAATGACTTCTTGCTATTTATTTTTTGCTCAACTGATTGTCTTTCCTCTGATTTCCATGTTTCCTCTGCATCTAGGATCTTAGCAAGATCCTAGGTAACCTAGGGGAGTGGGAAGAAGTGCAAGGATGTGACAAACATCCGTGTCCCCTTCCCTCTTCCTCTACTACAGGCCCAATCTAAATGAGAACATACATTTCCAAGGATGTTAGCTACACAAAGGGAGAGAGAAGAAATAATAGAAGCTAAGAGACAAAGAGGCCAGTGGAAGCAACCCAAGTATCCACTGACAGATGAATGAATAAAGAAAATACAAACCACGGAATACATATCATCCAGCGATAAGAAGGAAAGAACTTCTGACACGGGCTACAACATGGAGGAAGCTTGGACATTATGCTGACTGAACTAAGCATGGCACAAAGAGACAAATACTATATGATTCCACTTACATGACGTACCCAGAGTAGTACCTTTCTGTTTATGTAACAATAGAAATAACAGAATAAATTCAGAGAGATGAAAAGTTAGAATGGTGGTTGCCAAGGGCTGGGGGGAGGGGGATGGGGAGTTGGTATTTAATGGGTACAAAGTTTCAGTTGAGGAAGATGAAGAAGTTTTGGAGATGTGCGGTGGCGACAGACGCACAACACTGTGAACGTACTTAATGCCATTGACCTGTACACTTAAGAGAAGGTTAACATGGTCAATGATGTTACGTATATCTTAACACAATTTTTTTTTTTTAGAAATTTTTTTTTTTTATTTTTTTTTTTAATATTTTATTTTTTTATTTGACAGAGATCACAAGTAGGCAGAAAGGCAGGCAGAGAGTGCGGTGGGGGGGGGGCGGGGTGCGGGTAGCAGGCTCTCCACTAAACAGAGAACCCGATGTGGGGCTCGATCCCAGGACCCTGAGATCATGACCTGAGGCGAAGGCAGAGGCTTAACCCACTGAGCCACCCAGGCGCCCCAATCTTAACACAATTTTTAATAAGTTAATTATGAAACAAAAAAGAAATAAGAGCACATTGTAGGCCTTCATGCTTTTGACAGGGATGGTATTTTTTCATTGAACAAAATGTTTGAAATCTAGAAAATCAATTTAAAATCACAAGTGGAACTGAGTTTTCTGAAAACTTAAAGCAACTTCTTGATTATATCTTCCTAGGAAAAAATCACCTCACTGGCAATGTACAGGTCACAAAAGATGCCCTTACCAGTAAATGTTGGCCGAATGTCTGGTTTCGCCTCCCAGCACTGCTTCATGATGCTGATTATCTCCTCTGGGCAGTATTCAAGGATGTCTTCCACATTTGGCCTGTTCCCAGATTTAATGCATATTATCAACTGCTCTTCACAGATCGCATCTATAAAGCAAAGAAGGATTTAAGTTGACTTTCTCCTCGGGTCCTGCATGTCTCAGGTAGGGAGGTGGTAGAACTTGGACAAAGCTGCTAATCTCTCTCTACCAAGGCTGTGCTTTTAGGCCAGGTGCCTCATCCGATAGGGTCAGAAGACCCCCTGACAAGGCACTGACATAGTCTACTGTCCAGATGATCAAACAACATTTAACCTTGGCAAGGAGAGACAGAATTTATCACAAGGTGGCCGCCTGGTAGAACAAATAGAATATATAAATAAAACCAATGGCATACTCCAGATTTTAATACAAAAACAAATATGGTATAGCTCTTACCTGTAAGGAGCTCAGTCTATTGAGAGTGACTGAGAATACAGAGTGGTAACTGCTATTCAAGGAGTACACAGGGTTCTTCTAACACAACCATGACTAGAAGGTCAGAGAAGGCTTTGCTGAGTCAAGAAAATAAGCAGGATTTATCCATGTAAAGAATCAGGAAGGAGGACTCAGAGAGGATTCCAGGCTAGGGAAGCAGGATATGAATAGACTGGAAGTCCCCGAAATCATCATGTGTCCCAGGAATTATGAGTAGTTCACTCTCACTAGACATATTGACCAAGGAAAGAGAGATAAAGAATAAGGATAGAGAAAGACAGAAAAGCCATATCAGAGAGGGCCTTGTATTCCATACTGAAGAATTTGAACTTTATCCTGAAGGCCCAGGGAGCCTTGGAAAGATTTAAATAGATGAGAGATGGTCATACTTGCCTTTTAGGATGACCAGCTTGGCTGCAGTGTGAATGGGGAATGGCATGAGCAGGCTTCAGCAGAAATACGGAGGGTGTGACCAGCAGAGTCTGGTGGGGGTAGAAGTGTATGTATACCTTGAACTCATAGATTTTGATGCCTGATTGGATATGGGAAACAAGGGGTAAAGCTGAGACTGAGATGCATAAGGTTTCTGGTCCAGCAACTTGGTAGGTAGATGGTGATGCCATTTTCTGAACATGAGAAGAGCAAAGCTGAGTGGACTACAAAGGGAACATGGAGAAGATGAGTCTATTTAGGGGATGTTGCTTTGGGGTTCCTCTGTTAAGTGTAATGGACAGAACAGATAAGTGGATATCCAGGCCAGGGCTAGAGATAAGAGATTTGAGTGGCAATGGGTGATCATTAAACCAGGGGAGCTGATAATCACCCAAGAAAATGGAACCAGAGAATGTCCATTAATCTGAAGAATGACTACTTCTGTATCTGTTCTCCTACATGAACCATGTCTTTTCTCACCTCTTCATTCTTAATTTGAATTAAAGTGCCCACAGTAAGTACTGAAAAGAAATGATTCTCGAGTAAGGGAGCAAGTGAATGAATCAAGTATGAAGTACAATGTCTCATAAGCAGAAGCAAGCAAGCTTTCTTGTCCAGGAAGAATCCCGGAATTTTATGGCACCTCCCGAACTCAGATATATCGTCAAGTCTCCTACTTGTCCTGTGATCCCTGATTCCCAAACTGAAATTACTTTCATGCAACCTCATGGTGTTGAACACCTACTGCGTTCCAGGCACTGTGTGGGCAGATACTGGTAAAGTAGCATTGAAGAAATCAGATATGGTCCCAGACCCTGTGTAGCTTATGGTCTAGTGGGTAAGAAAGACATTAAATGAACAGACATGATAAGTCTTAACTGACTTCATTGAAGGCCACTATTTTACTCAGCAGGTCTGATTAACACCTCACTCCTCTACAAATGTCTTACTTTCATAGGGCTCCTTATTAGCAAATATTGCCCAAAGTACTATGCCAAAGCTGTACACATCTGACTTCTCCGAGGGCTTTGCGTTGATGTCATTCAGATGCTCAGGGGCCATGTAGCAAAGGGTTCCACCGTTTTTCTTAGAGACTCGATTCAATTTCCTCTGCTCGTTATGTTCCTCTTTAGTCAGTTTACTCCACATCTTAAAGGAAGCAACACCAAGATCAGCTATCTGCAAGAGATCAAACCAATGGGATTGTTCTGTGAGAGCCACAGGCAAATCAGACTTGTCTTTAAATTTGGGGGTTAACTAATAGATGGGAGGTATAGTGGATTTCCAGAAATTTCCACTAGGTAGAGCAGCTAATTCTGAACAAATTCATAGAAACTTTGTGCTTCCTCAACTAGCTGGACAATGTCCCCTAAGAAATGTCCATGTGAAATTCTGGTATCTCAGAGTCTTAAGCAATAAAACCATGGAATCTGCTAGTGGGGTTAGGGGCAGGGGAGGGGAGAGAAAAAGCAGAAGTCATTTCTGACATGAACTACAGCAAAACATGTTTATTTGAATTCCTCATTTACTCTGCATGTTTTTTCAACTATTTTGGGGGCTAGGAAGAAAAGGTATTTTCTTCTCAGCAGATTTGTACAGCCAATGGTGACAACATACCACACCTTTAGTTTTCCCAAAGGGTGTCCCGAAGCCCATGGATGCAAGATTCTAAGGACTCCAAAGTCCTGAGGAGAAGGACTGCAGTGCTAATTGTTTTGAGTGGGTAGCCTGAACCTAAGAGAAGATGGGATAGGAAAGGGGTGGGGGGAACAGAGAAGAAAGCAAAATGAAAAATACAAAGGTCAGACACAGAACAGAGAGAGGAGGCAAGGGCAAAAGTGTGGAACAATAGAACAATACAGTTAAGAGGAAATCAAAGATGAGAGTTTCACTTTCACCTCTAGGAATCCAAGCCTATGGGTATGGGTTTTGGCATGTGATGATCTAAAATCCCCAGATTTTAACATAAGAGATACATAAGAGATGTTACTAATGTAAAGAAGGAACCTTCTTTCAATGTTGTAGGAATAAAATCTGTCCAAGACTAGAAGGAAGTGTTAGAAGCAGAATCTTGTAGTGGAAAGATGCCTGCATAAGCAGTTCCTGAGTTCTCCCCCAAGTGCTGCTTCCCCTTTCAGATTCTCGTGCTTGGATTCCTGCTGCCAAAACCAATTAGATGTGATGTTCCACCTAGTTAAGTTTGCTCTTGAGTGAACAAAAGGAAAACCTCTTCCCCTTGTTCCCTTTACTACAATGGAGTAAGTTACAGTTTAAAAATAAAAAAACTGATAAAAAATGTAGATGAGAGTAAATAAATAAGTAATATGAACACCATCAAGTCCATAACTTTCTTGTCAATGCTCAGCAGAACCTTCCAGCACCACTGTTGCCAGCTCTAAGCTGAGTGAGGTCTTCCTTTAGGGGTCTAGCAGGTACAGAAGTGGATTTACAATGGAGAATTAAAATTAAATCACCCCAATCTTCTAGAAACCTTCAGATTATGATTTACCTTAATGTGAAAGTCATCATCAACGAGGATATTTTCAGGCTTTAGGTCCTTGTGTATTATGCCTTGTCCATGTAAGTAGCACATCCCTTCAATGATCTCCATAATTATCCTTCCTTTTAGAGAAAGGGGGATACTGACCTAAAACAAGTGACATTAAGTCTATGAAAAGGAAAGGTAAGTCAAACGGGCCAAAGCAACTGTTTTATTCCAGAGTAGTGGGGTCTGAACCAGAGGATATACAGATCTTTCTCAGCATACAGTGGGGATATGTCCTTATAAACACATCATACATCCTCAATATCGTAAGTCAAAAATGTGTTTAATATATCTAACGTACTGGACATCATAGCTTAGCCTCGTCTACCTTAAGTCTACTTAGAATGCTTCCATTAGCCTTAGTTGGGCAAAATCATCTAACACAGAGCCCATTTGACAATAAACTGGTAATTATCTCATGTAATTGACTGATACTGAAACAGCAGGTGAGAAAGTGAATGGCTGTGTGAGTAACAGAATGGTTGTGAGGATGTCAGTTGTCCCCCACGTCATCACGTGGCTCATTGCCATGGCCCAGCCCCACAAGAAAGGATCATAATGCTGCCAGCCCAGGAAAAGATCCAAATTCAAAATTCGAAGTATGGTTTCCACTGAATGCCCATTGCTTTGCCCATGATAAAGTGAAAAAAATTTTAAGTGGAACCACAGGTTAGGGTCCATCTGTAGCTACCAGGAGTCCTTCTATCATGATCTGCAGCCCTGTCATCGTTTTAAAAGAAGCCCCCTTTGAAATAAAGATTTCATTCCATGTGCTAACAGTATTAATGCTGTGTTCTGTCATGTAAAAATAAAACTTTCATGCCAATATGGTAATATATTAAAATGCTATAAAATTAAGCCCTTTGGGTGCCTGGGTTGCTCAGTTGGTTGGGCAACTGCCTTCAGCTCAGGTCATGATCCTGGAGTCCCGGGATCAAGCTCCGCATCGGGCTCCCTGCTCGGTGGGGAGTCTGCTTCTCCCTCTGACCTTCTCCCCTCTCATGCTTTCTCTCTCACTCTCTCTCTCTCAAGTAAATAAATAAAATCTTTAAAAAAATTTTTTTTAAATTAAGCCCCTTGAGAGAGGAACACGATGATGATTAGAATATATGCATTTTTACTACCTAGCATAGTGCCTAGAATTGTTGTTGAATGAAGGGATAAATAAATAAACAAAAAAACAGGCATTTTCCACAGTGCATTAATATATGCTACTATATACTAAATGGGTGAACAATGTCACAGCAGTGTGTAGATGAAATAATACTGAGAAAAAAGAATACAAGAGATTCTCAGTGTGCTCACACTGATTACAAACATAGAAAGATTAACATGTGAGATATCATGATGTGAAAAGAATGCGGAAGTGAATTTACTAGCTATTTGGTAATCTGTTATCAGATACTTCAGGTCTTTGTAAATTCGCAAGTCATTCTTACTTAACAATTGTATTCTAGTTACACAAATACCAACGTTTAATGTAGAGCATTCCAAAACATTAGTTTTGCTTAACACTGAAAAATGCAAACTGTGTGCACGCACACGTGCAGTCTCTGGTTTACAAACGGGCTGTTTCCTAAAAATTTATGTTGGTTGTTGGTAAATACTAAAGTTTAAATGACGGAAGTTAGAATCTCAAGTGAATCCCCCCAAACCATATTTAAAACCCACAATGTAGCTGAATTGGTAGCCTGATCACCATCATCCAAAAAAGAGTTAGAGATTTTCCCTTCTTCCTTGGTATACTTTTGGACTTCGGAACAAATTCTGAACAAGCAAAGGAAATCCCCTTCACATTCCCCGCTCTGCTTTTCTCCCTCACATCCTCCTGAATTCCTCTGGAGACCAAACTAGTTCACCTTATCTTCACATCATCCTACAGGATGCCTTGTGTCACACAGGATTTATCTCCCAATCAAGATGCCTACTTACTTCATGCAGCAGCTGGTCTCGCCTAGTTTGGGCGAGAAGAGCAGTCTAACTCAATTATAACACAATGTGTATCAGTGAACACCTGTTACCCTTCCCACAGCTGTCTGCGAGAGATGTTTGGGGCTTAGAAGACCTAAAGAACAGACATAACCTCAGGCAGTTGTAGAGTGAGGGAGAAGAGCTGTAGGGTGAGGGGAAAGGGGGGGATATTTGCCCTACAGACTGCCACAGCCCACCATTCCTACATGCAATCTATGCTTTGGCCAAATCCAGTTGTTTGCAGTGTCCCAAATTTGGCATATTCTCTTTGCTTTGCCATTCTCTCACCGGAACACATGTTCCTTAAATCTCTGCTTGTCCTTCAGGCTTTGGCTCAAGCATCCCCCTTCTGGAATCCCTTCTTATCTATTCCACACCGAAGCGAGCACCTCTCCCCTGTGTTGCCAACAGCATGCTGGGAGATGTCTACCAAAACACTATTTCGCCATACTGTTCCCTCCTCAGCTGTCCGTGGTATGTGTCTGTTCTATTTGCTATTGCCTCCCCAGCAACTAGCACGAGGCCTTGTCCTTAATAGGTAGATAAACGCTAAAAAATGCTTTATTAAAGTGATGTGGTTTGCATACACGATTTTTCTTTTATTGTAAGTCTTACTTATCCAGTGTTGTTGCCTCTGATGTTCTATATTCAGCCTCTAGGTTTCTCCGTTGGCATCAAAGAGCAATCACTAAGATTCCGTCTCCACAGACAGTCACGTCTAGTGTACATCCTTCAGTCAGTCGGTCAGCTCCTGGCTACCCAGCAGGCATCTGCCTCGGGTCAGACCACGGGCTTCTGGAAGACAGTGCCTACCCCTGAACTATGGATGCTGGAGTGGCTGACCAAGGCCAGCTCCAGCACTAAGACACAGGGGGACCCCCCTAAAGTGAGGGGTACAGACAGCTATCTGCAACGACTGACAGGAAAGCAAGACCACCTTCTGGGCAGGGAAAGTTCAGGACCTTTTCACCCGGTATTGACTTCAGAAAATCCAAACTCACAAGGGGGTTATTTGACACCAACAACTATGACAGTGAGAACTATCACAGAAGAGCAGCGCCCAGGGCGCGGTGCGGGTCGAGCACGCAGCGAAGCCCTCTTTACCTCCGCCTTCAGAACGTGCATCAGGTTGCCCTTTTCCATGTACTCCATCACCAGGGAGTAGTTCCCTTCTTCTATGATGACGCCCAGCAGCTTCACCACCCGATTATGCCTCAGCCTGTGCATCATCTTGCCCTCCTCAAGGAGGGACTCGTTGTACCTGCGGGACAGAAAGGTGCTGTCAATATGGGCAGAGTTCGCACCCTCATCCCTTGTGCCCCCAAGAAATGCAGGACACGCCTCCAACGCATCACACGCTGGTGTTGATGCCTGTGCGTGCCCTGATCTCTTCCAGGCCCAGACAGTGGGCGTCCACAGGTAGAGGAATTTTTCAGTCCTTCCCAGTGATGGGTAGCGAGTGTTCAAGAAACATCAGAGCAAAGAACGAATGAATGTGAAGCATGTGGAGAGCCACAAGGAGAGGCAGCCTGAACAGATGGCATAAGAGAAAATGCAGCCTCTCTTGGTAACGACTCTGGAAAGAAAAGAGGGAAGTGAAACAAATCTACCAACTGCTTTAAAGAGAGGGCTTCTGGAACTTCTAATTAATGGCCTACCTTTTTTTTTTTTTCTATAGGTAGGGCTGGTCCCCTCCAAAACGCTGTAGCAAGTACAGGAGTCTATCTCCTTCCCTTTCTCTAATTCCTTCTCTTCGCTTCTCTTCCACTGTCTGTTAGCTGGGAGCTTTTTGCTAACCAGCCTCAGAATCCCCATTTAGCAGTACAGGGATAATAATAACCAGCTCTCAGCGTAATTGGACGAAAAGTGTGCCCACTGACACACCGCGGTCTGTCTCCTTCTAATGCCTGGGCCATGTTTATTCACTGCCCTGCCCTGCATCTCCACAGTAATTCTTCCCATGGCCAGCCTATAATCTGGCCCAACCACCTCTGCTCCTGACTCACTCAGTGCGCTTGGGTCCCGTGTACACCTTTTTCAGTATTACGAGTCCATGGCATCTGTGTAAACACAGAGACACCTTTCCGAAACCCCCGCTGTCCAGGTACTCCTTCTCCAATAAGTCACTAGTTTTCATCTTAATGTCATCCAAGGACATGGTTGGTTTCCTTGTGAATCCTGAGAATGTTCAGAAATGCACCACTTTTTCCCACTCAGAGCTGTGCCCTGTGAAACAAAACAAAACAAAAACAAGAAGGAATCTCAGTGCAAAGAGTCATTATCCAAAAAACTTGCAAAGTTCTACCATGTGCTTAGTGTGCCTTAATTTTTTTTTTTTTTTGAGGAGACATTGTAAGATGAACTGTTCATCATATTTTCAAGAATCACAGAAAACCACAAGTTTTATTCCTTTAAGCTTCCATTTCTGGCAACATGGAGAAACAGAAAAATTTTAAAATGTCCCTACTGCAAAAGACCTATCTGTATAGGATAGCATAACACAAACATCATTCAGATGCACAGATAGGCCCAAGAGAAAGGAGAATTAACTCTATGACTAAAAAAAGAACAGGCCCTGGGCCTAGGGCAGTGGCCCACATGGGGGCTGCTTTGGACTGAATGTTTGTCATTTGTTCATTTGTTGAAGCTCTAACTCCACTGTGATAGTATTAGGAGGTGGAGTCTTTGGGAGACAATTGGGTCATGAAAGTGAAAGCCTCACAAGTGAGATCAGGGTCCTTATAAAAGATATAAGAGCGCTCTCTCTCTCTCTCTCTCTCTCTCTGCCCCCACTATGTGAGGATACAAGAAGTGGACAGTCCTCTGCAAACCAGGAAGCATGCTCTCACCAGACACCGAATCTACTGGTACCTTGATATTGGACTTCCAGCCTCCAGAAATGTGGGAAATAAATGTCCATTGTTTAAGCCCCCCAGTCAATAACTTGTGATAACTTGTGATATGTGTCAATAAATTGCTGAACTAAGACAGTGGCCCTGTTGTGCAAGGCCAATCTTGACATCCAAAGGTCAAGGTCTAAAATGCAGCCAGGGACAGGAGACGAGATCATGGCATGCAAGAAAAGAGGGTTGAAACAGAGATACCCGCCCCCCCCCCCGCCGCCCCGCGAACACAGCACTCATCAATGAAAGGACCGACAGAGGAAAAGCTAGTCCACTAGCAGAGGCAATTGCTTGTCTTAGATAGGACATGGGGTGTAAAAAAAAGTCTCGAAGTGAATTCATAAACTTGGGCCTGTCTTCTAATAGACTTGGGCTTTGAATTTCTATTCCTCCTATGGCTGAAATTGCCCAAATGAAGAACTTTAAAAAAAGAAAGTGGCTACGGGCTCATGATATCACTGAATTAAGGGTAAAGCAAACAAACACCCTCAGGGAAGACCAGACAGAATTCCCACAAATAAATTCTAACTTAACATCAGCTCCTGTTCCAAAATTATAAAGCACAAAGTTCAAACGAGCCAAATCCAGCAGATACAAGAACAGTCTCAGGCACTAAAGAATTTCAGAGTATTGAATACTCTTAGAAAATAATAGGTTTTAGATAATTATGAACATAAAGAATGAATTTGAAGAATATGAAAGAACAATGCATTATCTAAAAAGAATAGAAAGGTATAAAAACGATGAGGATTTGGAGAATTTGTACATAAGTGCTATGAAGTCTACACTGTATACGATCCCAAAACAGATCTGTTTGCTTCTCGTTCTTCCCTTCTTCCATTCATTTTCCCCAAACTGAACTGAAGCATAAAAACCCATGAGGGACCCTAATGAGATACCATTATGCACCTACCAGAATATTAAAAAGGCTGACACCACCAAATACTGGGGAAGATAAGAAACAACTGGAATTCTCATACATTGTGAGTGGGAATATAAAGTGGTACAACCACTTTAAGAAAAGTTCTGGAGGTTTCTTATAAAACGAAACATACACCTCAACTATGGCTAAGCAATTCTAATCCCAAAAGAAATGAAAACATATGTCCCCAAAGACTTCTGTGTTGTTCGTTGCAGCTTTATTCAGGATAGCCCCAAACTGGAAACAGTGATGCATCAATAGGAGAATGGATTTAAAAAAAAAAATAAAAAGATCGTATATTCGTACAATGAGTTACTACCCAGCAAAAAAAGCAATGAACTACCAATACGCACAACAACATCGATGAATCACAAAAGATGCTAAATAAAAGGAGCCTAGTACAAAAGAATACATACTGTACAACTCCACCTATGTTAAGCTCTTGAACAAAGTAATCTGTGTTGGCAAAGGAGCACTTTTCCAGAACAGATAGCCCAGGGACAGGGTGAGGACTGCATGGTTTGGAGCAGGAGGAAACTTTCCGGTGTGATAGTACTACTCTCCCATCTCGGTGGGGGTTAGGGTTACACAGGCATAAGCATTTGTTAATACTCAGTAAATGTACTGTAGGCAAATCTGGCATCAAAAGAAAAATTGGGGGATGCCTGGGTGGCTCAGTCTGTTAAGCGTCAGACTTCAGCTTAGGTCATGATCCCAGGATTCTAGGATTCTGGCACCGAGCCACGCATCAGGCTCCTTACTCAGCGGGGAGTCTGCTTGTCCCTCTGCCTGCTGCTCTCCCTGCCTGTCCTCTCTCTCTTGCTCTCTGACAAATAAATAAATAAAATCTTAAAAAAAGAAAAAAAGAAAGAAAAAGAAAAATTTGTAAACATACTGAACTCTAGTTAGTGGTATGCATACTGAAAATATTTCGTAGGAAGATACGGTATTGATATCTGCAATTTACTTTGCAGACAGACTTGTGGATAAAGAGTGCGGTAAACAGATATTCTGTAATAAAGCAGACCGAATAAAATAATATTGATGGTGGACACATAAAAGTTACTGTAAAATTTTTTAAAATTTGTTTCTACATTTCTATGTTTATTTACTAATTTCCCCCATATATTCCTCACCCAGTTCCTAATTGTACATATGTCAAAACTAAAATACCAACATTGTACATTACTACTAACGAAACACCCTATTTGATTCTGATATTACCCATTTTTTTTTTACAAATGCCCTTTTTCTGTTCTAGGATCTGACCCAGAATACTACATTGCTTTTTGTAGCTCATGATTTTTTAATTTTTTAAAACCTTTTGACTCCCTTCCCCCATTTCTCCCAGCCCCTGCCTCTGGCAACCCCCAATCTGTTCTCTGGATCTATGAAAGATTCTACATATTTAAAAAAAAAAAAAAAGATTCTACATATAAGTGAGATCATATACAGTATTTATCTTTCTGACATTTCACTTAGCATAATGCCCTCAAGGTTCATCCATGTTGTCAAATGACAAGATTTTCTTTTTTACTGCTGAATTTATATATATATATACACACATCTTCTTTATATATTCATATATTGGTGGACTTTTAAGCTATTTCCATATCTTGGCTATTGTAATTGATGCTGCCATGAACTTAAGAGTGCATATGTCTCTTTGAGTAAGTGTTTTTGTTTTCTTTGAGTAAATATTTTTTGAGAAAGTTTCATACTGTTCCATACTTCATACTGTTCCATACTTCATACTGTTTCCATAGTGGCTAAAACAATTCACATTCTCACAGTGTACAAAGGTTCCCTTTCTCCACATCCTTGCCAACACTGGTTATCTTGTCTGTACAATAACAGCAGTTCTAAGAGGTGTGAGGTGGTATCTCATTGTGGTTTTGATTTGCATTTCCCTGATGATGAGTGATGCTGGGCATCTTTTTATGTGTCTGTTGGCCATCTGGATGTCTTCTTTGGGAAAATGTCTATTCGGATCTTCTGCTCATTTTTTAGTTGAATCTTTTTTTTTTTGCTATGAAGTTGTATGAGTTCTTTATATATTTTGGATATTAACCTCTTAACAGATATATGATTTGTAAATATTTTCTCCCATTCAGTAGGTTGCCTTTTAATTTTGTTGATGGTGTCCTTTGCTGTGAAGAAGCTTTGTCATTTGATGTAGTCCCACTTGTTTATTTTTCCTTTTGTTGCTTTTATTTTTGGTGTCAGATTCCAAAAATCATTGCCAACACCTATGTCAAGGAGCTTATTGCCTATGGTTTCTTCTAGAATTTTTCTGGTTTTAGATGATACATTTAAGTCCCTAATCCATTTTGAGTTAATTTTTTTGTATGGTGCAAGATAGTAGTCTAGTTTCATTCTTTTGTATGTGGCTGTCCAATTTTCCCAACATGATTTCTTGAAGAGATTGTCTTTTTCCCATTGTATATTTTTGGCCTATTTGTCATATATTAATTGACCACACGAGTGAGTTTATTTCTGGGCTCTCTATTCTGTTCCACGGATCTAATGTCTCCTTTTATGCCAACAGCACACTATTTTAATTACTATAGCATTGTAATAAAGTCTGAAATCAGAGCGTGTGATGCCTCCAGCTTTGCTCTTCTTTCTCAAGATTGCTTTGCTGATTCAGGGTCTTCTGTGGTTCTATATATATTTTAGGACTGTCTGTTCTATTTCTGTGAAAAATGCCATTGGAATGTTAATAGGGATTGCTTTAAATCTGTATATTGCTTTAGGTAGTGTGGACATTTTAACAATATTAATTCTTCCAATCCACGAGCATGGAATATCTACTTATTTGTGCCTTCTTCAATTTCTTTCCTTAATATCTTGTAGTTTTCATTACACAAATCTTTCACTTCCTCGGTTACATTTATTCCTAGGCACTTTCTTTTCCTTTGATGCATTTGTAAACATAACTATTTTCTTAATTTCTCTTTGGTAGTTCATTATTAGTGTACAGAAACTCAACAGATTTTTGTACATTGATTTTATATCCTATTATATTATCAAAAATCACTTATTCTAATAGTTTTTTGATGGAATCTTCATGGTTTCCTATATATATTATCAAATCTCCTGCAAATAGTGACAGCTTTGCTTTTTTCTTTCTAATTTTGATGACTTTTATTTCTTTTTCTTGCCTAATTGTTGTGGCTATGACTTCCAATATTATGGGGTTTTTTGGACATTTTTTTTCAAAGATTTTATTTATTTATTTGACAGAGAAAGAGAGAGAGAGAGTACAAGTAGGGGAAGCAGCAGGCAGAGGGATAGGGAGAAGCAAACTTCCCGCTGAGCAGGGAGCCCGATGTGGGCCTTGACCCCAGGACCTGAGCTAAGGCAGGTACTTAACTGACTGAAACACTTAGGTACCCGAC